CCCCCTTCCCCCCCCCGCCCCCTTATTCTCAGACGTATTGATTTTTCTTATTCCCCCACCTGCTCTCTCTTTCCGAATGGCCCCCGTCTGAAACTATCCCATGTGTGGCACCTCCTCGGCGCGTTCGACAGGGCAAGACCCTCCAAGTGATCTCGCTCATCCTCGCGCAGCCCCCCGCGGGGACGGACTACGTGAAGAAAGTGCTGGCCGTGGAGGCGAACAAGAGGCTAAAGGAGGCTCTGGACCGCGGCGAGACGCCGCCTCCGCAGGTGTGTTTGCTTACCCCTTCGATTCTCTCTGGCCATGCGCAGAGAGCAAGAGACACGGCAACCTGAACGAAGAGTCGTATGGTGGTCACTCACGTGTGCTTTGGCAGTGCAAGCGCCGTGTGTGCCTTGTCCCGTCCGTTCTTGCTCTCAAGACGAGTCGAGGGGGAGAGAGACACAGCGTGGGTGGGTGGATCTGTTGTGTTTTCGTTCATTTTGCGTCGAACCGCGCTATCTGGCTGGCCGAAGAAATACCGTTGGTTGTTACGTACCTGTACCCAGCACCCTCATTTTCAGTCTACGGGCCCCCCGAAAGGATTGATCTGCGTGGAATTTTGTCGGTGACGCGGGGAATCCCTCCTTTCAAGCAAAGAATGTTGAGCTTCTTACCGTTGCTTCTTGTGATCCTGCCGTGCTTTTGCTACGCTACGTGGGTGTGACGTGGACGTTCTGTCAGCCAAGTGTTGCACATATACTTAGTTTTTTTTGCTTCGCTCTTGTGGCCCTGCTTGTATGTTTACGGCCTCTGCGCCATTCTAGTTTTTCGTTGTTGTTGTTGTTGTTGTTGTTGTCGGGCGCGTTGTGAATCGACAGTCAAGATAGGCAGGCCCATGCAGCTTTTTTATTTTTCTGCTATTGTGTTGGTGACACCGACCTTGCTTTTTGTCCCCCCACACTTTACTGCTTGATCAATCTCCATCGGTTACTTGGGGTTGTCCCGACGCTGACGTACGCGTCGCGTCGCTCTTCCTTAACGATGCTTCGAAGCCGCGGAATAGCCCTTACGCACTCACGAGAGAGAGAGGGAGGGAGGGGGAGCACTCACGAGAGAGAAAGGGAGGGAGGGGGAGCACTAACGAGAGAGAGAGGGAGGGAGGGGGAGAAGCACCTCGCTCGCCATCTCTCGTCTTCCCGAACCCTCCTCTTGTTTGGCGTACTACACTTGTGACCCCGGTTGGGTCGTCTAGCTGAGTAGAAGTGGAGGATGGGGGCCAGAGGGGCAGACGACAGTCCAATGATGGGAGGAAAATATATATATATGTTATACAGCATATGTAAGTCTGCTGTGGGGAATGTTGAGTCGTTGCGTCGCACCACCACCGTGCCACAATGATGGACCGCCCTCCCCCCCCCCTCCTCTCTCTCTCTCTGGTGCCTTCTGCTCCGTTATCCTCTAGGAGAAGGAATTAACCCCTCAGCAGAAGCAGGAGGCTGTAGCCAAGAAGTACAAGAAGCTGAAGAAGGCTGATCTCGAGAGGGTGAGAGGTAACTGTTAACCCTGAACCCCCCCCCCCCCCCCCCCCCCCCCTAT